TCGGTTCATGGGGAGTTTGGAGAAAGACCTCACTCGCTGACAGCTCCTGAGTGACTCTGTCTGCCGGTGGGCAGAGGGTGAGGCCGCCCTCATTCCCGCCTCTCGCAGATTGACACAGAGCCCGGCGGCACCATCCGGTTTAGGCCCCCCACCGCAGGGCTCACCCTCGCTGTTGCTCCTTTCGACGGGGGAATCGACAACATCTGTTGTATCCATTGCTGAATCCCAGGGTATCGGACCAGACCTGGTCAGGTTCGAGTTGGGCCCGGTGGAGGCAGTGGCACCCAGCCAGGGCCCTGGGCAATTCCTCAGAACGATCCAGATTCAATTCCCGGATTCGCAACCGCCCACTTTATCTGGGAAGGAGCACCCCCCTCCCTCCCCACCCCAGGTATCTTGTGAGCTGCTGTTCGGTCACCTTTAGAACAGAAGGACATGCTGTCGTTGGGGAAGACAGGAATACAATTAAGGGGAAGCTGGCAACAGCCATGAGGGAGAAAGGAATAGAAGGTTAAACTGACAGGGGTGCAGATGAAGAGGGATGGGTGCTGGTTCAGGTGGAGCGTAAATACTGACAGGGACCAGTTGCGCCGACTGGCCTGGCCCTGTGCTCAATGGGACACAGACAAACTACTTATTTTGCATCGACCTGTTGTGCTAAGGACAAACATTACGTCCCACCCAGGATAAATGTCCTTCATCTGCATCCGTGGATCATTTCAGCGTCAATGTGCAGACCCAGGGCTCAAAGGGCACCAGCCCCATTGGAAGCGAAATAGGTGACAACAGCCAGGTCCTCAGAGGAAAAAAAAAGCCTTCCCAACTCACCCACTGCCAGAATGAATACGGTTCCGTCCTGGAATGTGACTCAACCCCTGCGCTCACTTGTGAACTCTCTGGTGAGACACCATGTTGGATAACTGAGTGAATCCCTTCCCACACTCCGAGCAGGAGAACGGCTTCTCCCCGGTGTGAATGCGCTGGTGGGTCCGCAGATTGGTGGACTGGGTGAAGCCCTTCCCGCAGACGGAGCAGGTGAATGGCCTCTCCCCGGTGTGGACCCGCTGGTGCCTCTGCAGGCCGGATGACTGAATGAAGCCCTTCCCGCACACAGGGCAGACAGACGGCCGCTCCCCGGTGTGAACCCGCTGGTGCCTCTGCTGCTCAGATGACGTCTTAAACCTCTTGGCGCAGTGGGAGCAGCCAAACGGTCTCTCCTCGGTGTGAATGCGCTGGTGCAGCATCAGATCCCAAGAGCTTTTGAAAGCAGCCCCACAGTCGGAGCATTTGTAAGGTCTCTCGTTGGTGTGACTGCTCTGGTGCCGGCGTAAGCTCGATGACTGACCGAACCCCTTTCCGCACACAGAGCAGGTGAACGGCTTCTCCCTCGTGTGAAACCGCTGGTGCTTCTGAAGGCTGCCCGAATCGCGGAACGCGTTCCCGCAAACCGAGCAGGCGAACGGCTTTTCCCCGGTGTGAACGCGCTGGTGCAATCGCAGGTGGCTTGACTGGGTGAATCCTTTCCCACACACAGAGCAGGTGAACGGCCTCTCCCCTGTGTGACTGCGTCGATGAGTTTCCAGTGCGGATGGTGTTGGGAATACCTTCCCACAGTCCCCACATTTCCACGGTTTCTCCATGGAGGGAATGTCCTCAGAACAAGTGTTTGGTGTGATTTTTTTTCCAGGCTGTGAGATCCTCTATCCACAGTCAGTTCACAGAGAAACTATCATTTGGGTGTGTGTGTGTGTTTGTTGCTTTTTTCGGTTTGAAGCAGACAAGAACAGACATAAACCATTTCCTCCTTTAGATTTCAAAGGTCCACGATAATCAGTTCCTGATGAGCTGAGCGAATGTCAGACGCTGACGCGCTGCATGCTTTGACATTTCCATTTTGAAATTGTCCTCTTCTAATATCCTGCAAAAGGAGACTAGAAAAGTCATCTGTGTCAGTCCTGGTTAGAAATTCAGAACATAAAAATAAACTCCACAGAACAATCTGTTCTCTCATATTCACCACAAGCTCGTAAACCACCATCCCACATACTCTCTCTGTGCTGGAACTCGTTCTCTTGAAGGTGCTGATTCAACTTGACGGACAAATCCTAAAAAGACGCGTAACATACTGTGTCTTAATTTGAGATCCAGCTTGGAACTCTCTAGAATTCTCTGCCTCTGATCAATACAGAAGCAAAGAGGATTAATGATAACAAAACTAAATGGGATGGGTATCTGACAGAAACAAAACTGCAAGGATGTATGGGGATAACTGGAGTGCTCTATGGTGTTAGCATGGAGTCAAGTTGCTGAAAAGACTGGAAATATTTGCAATAGCTGCAGAACCATCTCACAAGACCAGAAGTAATTGGAAATGACAATGAGAGAACCACAAATAAAACAAAACAGATACATACTATAGGACACAAGACATGTGTCTGTTTTGCATTAGTTTACCATTCACTAAAATGATCTTCCTTTGTAAAATAAAATTGTAATGGTGAACATTAGGAAGGTCATCCTTTGAACCAGACAAATGAATGTTTCAAACTGAGGGAACAAAAGGATATCAATGTCTTTGAGAAAGCGGTGAAAACAAAACAAACCTTTCCCCGGTCTGCACCCTCCCTGCATTCACTTCCGGACACGGCGGCCCTACTGCGCCTGCTCCAGACAGGGAGCCCACACTGCGCCTGCTCCGAACTGGGTGCCGCAGGGGGAGAAGGGGGGAGAAGGGG